CCCCACTGGCCCCTAGCCAGGCCCGAGCTCTGGGGTCAGCCTTGCCCCGGCCCAGGCCCAGAACACCACAGCACCGCAGCACACTTGGTACACACAGAGCTACTGATTAGCAGACACAACCGAATACCAGCAAGACAGATCATCCATGCCACAAAGCACGTGAATTTAACTCATCTTAATTTGCAGGAAAAATCACAACTTAAGTCTCTCAAATGCAAGTTTTTACAGACAACCTGTGAGTAGGGTTTATCTCCAAGTTCCAGTAAAAGCAAATTGTTTAGTTTCTCTCACTGGTCAACCCATGTACTTTTTCAGTATTTATTTTATTTATTTTTAAAAGTCCAAAGCAGAGGCTGGCATTGTGGTGTAGTGGGTAAGCCGCCACCTGTAAGTGCAGTGTCGCACATGGGCGTCAGTTCACATCCTGCTTGCTCATCTTCTGATCCAGCTCTCTGCTAGTGCACCTGGGAAAGCAGTAAAGGATGACCTAAAAGCTTGGAGCCCGTTACCTGCCTGGGAGACAGGGAAGAGGCTCCCGGCCAAGCCTGGCTGCTGTGGCCATCTAGGAGTGAACCAGAGGATTCAAGATCTCTGTAACTATACGTTTCTGAAAAACATGATCTTTAAAAAACTAATGAAGTCACAAACAAGGATGGGCAAAGCCACATGCACAACCAGGGCTCAGTAGAGCCCTTCTCCCCAGCACGCTGTGATTGGTGAGGGTCCGCAGGACTCCCCCAGGCTCAGCTCGACTCTTCATGGATCCCCCAGGCAGACAGCTGGAGCACAGGCACACGCAGCCCACCTGCACTCCAAGCCTGGGTCATGGGCACCTCTGCCAGTCACTGTGCCACAGCAGGAAGCTGACACTCCGGCTTTGGGGCTGAGGAGGCAAACCAGTGAGTGACAGCCCGTTGTCAGCTTCTCCCAGCACGGCTTCCTGTGGTGATGGAAGGGGTGGGAACAGGCATGACAGAACCAGCCGGACCCAGCACCTCGCTGCCCCGGCTGCCCAATGGGCAGAGGCAGGAGCCGGAGGGAACGGCTGGGAAGAGGATCCTGTAAGAGCTCCGAGCTTTGACTGAGAACAGCAAGCACACCAGACTGGCTTTCTAGAATCTTCTGGCCTAATCCTCTACCTCAAGCCTGACCCTGTGTCACGTGGGAGCTTTGCCTGCTTCATCTCATAACACAGAAGAGCAGGTGCATGCTAGGAAACCGAGGCCCAGAAAAGCAAGGTGACTGCAGGGCCGGCAGGATTTGCCCAGGAGGCTAAAGCTCAAGCTGGGTGGAGGCCAGGCCTCCCGGCCCTCCTCAGCAAGGAGACGCAGCCACCACGTGACAAACAGCAGGAGGTGACAGGAAGCACAGCCTGTCCCCCTGTGATGAAGGGAGCCCAAGGCCAGGAGATGCAGCCCAGCTCCTTGCCACAGAACCAGAGAAAGCAAAACATCAACAAGGCAAGAGCGAACAGCTATGGCACCGCGACGCTGCCCCAGGGGCGTCACACCCTGGAGAGTGGACACACAGAAGGAGGTGAGGCTGGGAAGGCCTTGCCATACACCGACGGCTGGCAGGGAGCAGTCACGTGGGCTGGGGCCTTGCCCACATGGCTGTGCGTGGCCTTCAAACACAAACACCCTTCAGTCTCTTTCCCCTCCCAGAGAACAGAGAGCCCTGGTCGCCACTCCTCCCTTCCCAGGGTCAGGTGGGCTCCCGACTCCCCTCAGCAGATGGGCCCCAGCCCTTCAGAAAAGCAGGAATAATGCCACGGGAAGCTGTTTCAGAAATATAAAGAACTCGGTGCTGGAACTGTGACACTATGCGTTAAGCCTGCAATGCCAGCATCCTACATGAGTGCCAGTTTGAATCCCGGCTGCTCCACTTCCTATCCAGCTCCCTGCTAAGGTGCCCAGGGAAAGCAGCAGAGGATGGCCCACATGCTTGGGCTTCTGCATCCACCTAGGACTCCTGGACGGATGGAGTCCCAGGTTCCTGGTTTTAGCCTGGTCCAGGCCCTGGTTATCGCATCCATTTGGGAAGTGAACCAGCAGGTAGAAGATCTCACTGTCTCTTTCTTTGTATTTAGTTCAAATGAATAAAAGAAATCTGACGGGTAAGGGAGGAACAGGACAAGAAGGGAAGAGAAGAGTCCTCCTATCCAGGCAGACCTCTGGGCAGCAAATAAGCAGAGACCTCCCTGCCCACAGCAGAGGCACACAGGGCAAGGTTGCCGCCAGCTTGCACTCCTGGCAGCCCCTATGCAGCACATCCTGCCATCTCAGGGGACCCCAAACCTCTTGAGCTGGGGTCGGGAAGGGCAGGCAGGAGCTGAATGAATGAATGAAGAAACCGAAGAACCGATGTCCTCTGAAACTTCATTCCTCCACTCTCCAGAATCTCTATTATTTAAACGAACAAGGGCAGCTGCTTCCAGTCCCTTCCCCAGAGCGACCATAGTGCAGAAAAAGCCGCTGTGCGGCCATGCCCTGGGACGACGAGGGGCAGTGTTCCAAGGTTGCCCTGGGAGACCTCCTGGCCCGACCTGCCCATCTCTGCATAGTCAGGGAAAGACCAGGACCACGGCGAGCCATGCTGGTGCCAGGCCACATGAAGCCCCTTCAGTCACCCAGACTTGGACTTGGCAAGCCTGGGTGGCCTAAGTGAGAGGCACAGACCCAGGAAGGAGCATCCACCTGCTTGCCAGGGACTGACTGGGGCCTGCAAGACCTGGTGGCAGCAGTGGGCCATGCAAGCACTTAGAGAATCCTACGGAGCCACGGCCAGGGCCCAAGCAAAGCCACCAAGCCCTGGGCGGCAACTGAGCGACTTTCCAGAAGCCAGGATGGAGAAAACCTGGAGATTGCTAGTTTCCCTCTTAAAATATAAAGACTCAATTATCTTTGAGCAGCTTGCTTTACACATGAATTGACACATTTATTTTACAATAAATAACTGAAACTTATCTGTGTTTCCTTTACTGTTAATCTACACAGAGAAATAATAAACAGGGCTTGTCTAGCAAAATGCAACGACTGCAGTCCTCAGAATTCAATTAAGCTAAAATAATTAATGCTCCTACCCTATTAAATGACTTTACACATTTGAGCCACTGAAGTTTTATTCTTTAATCTTGCCTTTTTATTAAATAAAGGAAAAAAAGGAAGAAAAGTTAGTGCCAAAGTAGGGAGGGGAATGGGGAGTCGTGGACTAGAAAGGCATGGCCACGGCGCACAGTAAAGCAGAGCGGTCGCCCTCCGCTGACACAGCATGCAGACTGCTTTGTGCCTTTGATTAAAATAACATTTTAAATGCTTTGAACAAACATATCTGTTTAGACTTCTAAGGGATTATTTTACATATTTCTTCCAGTATAAAAAAATCCACTCGTCCTGCAGCCGAACGGAAAAGGCCGACAATACCTTTCGTCACACATGAAATAAGTGGCTGCACTGTTACATCCTGGGCAAGAAGAAAACAAATAAAAAGATAGGGGGTTGGGATGGAGTGAGGACAGAGCTGCCTGGGAGATTAACTCTGCCTTTTGTGAAATCATATTTAGCCGCTTTCCTAAACAAACCTACCCACGGGGGCCTGTAGCCTCTACTCTGGAAATTCCTCCAATGACCCGCAAAAAGCGGCACCAAGACATACAGGGGGTTCAGGTCTCCTCCGGTCAGCCCCTGTAAGGTCTGTGTGCCCCAGTCCCAAACACCCCCCCAGCAGTGTCACCGGCCCTCCTGGCACAGGGGACCGAGCCCCTTCACTGCCCAGGGCCCAGCCCTACCCCTCAGCCATTGCTCTCATCGCCCTCTGCATCTTGGAAGGACAAATTTCCCACCAGAACACTCTCCTGGCACACACCTGTAGGAATCACACTGATCCCATTATGTAGGTGGGCAAAGTGAGGCCCAAAAATCACACCTAGATTGCATCATCCTGCCTGCCTCCTGGTGGGAGGGTCCCTGCCCTGGCCTTGTGTACACAGCCCTCCCGAGTTTCCATGGGGACCAATGCACACGTTCTCCCTGCCAGCCACCTGCCTGTGCACTGCACACCCCGCAGCAACCCATGAGGAGCGCTGACCCCTCACGCCGAGACCTGCTGACAGATGGAGAAACTGAAGCTCAGACCTACAACACAGCCGAGGTCACTGGGCAGCAGGACCGGACTCCCCTGCCACAAGAACCCTGCTTTCTGGCTGCCTGTGGGCAGCACAGGCTGACTAGGGGACCCCCAGCCTGGTCTCCCCAGGCCTCCTGAGCCCAGAAGCTGACACTCTGGTTTGCAGCACTGCCTGGGTGCCAGGAGGGCAGGACCCGGGGCAAAGCTGCGGCTGAGAAGCCTGGGTGGAGAAGGGAGCCCGGGCCTGGGGCACAGGAGCCTCACACCTGCTTCTCCAGTGAGGACAGCTGCCCAGGTAGATGGCCAGCAAGTTCCCATAGCCCCCTTCCCAGGTCTGTCCTCAAGGTCACCAGGCAAGGTCAGAAGCAGCCCCTGAGGCCTCCTTTTGCAGCTGGGAAGTTGAATCCAGAGAGGGAATAGGGGTGAGCGCTCTCACTCAGCCGTGCCTACCAGATACCAACACACACACACACACTTACAGTTTCACTTCACAGTTGGGGAAACTGGGGCAGTCAAGTACTGAAGGACAGATTATGACCCGAGAGATACCAAAGCCAGGGACGCAGCCAAGACCACCAGCAAAGAGAGGGCCGACCAAACACTGTTCCCCCATTGCTGTTCTGTGCTCCAGGGCGCCTTTGGGTTAAGGGTTCCAAAGGCTAAGTCTCCTGGCCCAGATGCAAAGTATCCAGGAGGCCCAGGCCAGTCCCCTGGGGGGAGGGCGGCCTGGAGGGTGGGTCCTCGGGAAGGGTAGGCCCCAGCAGGCAGGCAGTCAGCCCAGGAGTCACCCTCTACACACACACACAGAAGCACGTAAGGCCATGGGACCCTGCGGGAGGGGTCGCAGGGTGACCCGGCAAGCGTAAGTTTCATACCTGCAATGTTCTCCTGCTTGGGACAGATGCCTTTCGTGGGCGAGAGCAGGTGCTCATCTTCGTCGGGGGTCACCTGAATCCCGACCTCCACCGGCTCGGCCACTTTCCTGAGCTCAGAGCGTGAGGAGGGCGGCGGGCTGGCCTTGTCCAGGCCCTTGTCGTAGCAGCCGGCCAGGCTACCGCCACACTGCTTCTTCTTGTGCTCTATGAAAACCAGGATGTCCCCCAGGGGGAAGTTCATCTGACACTGGCCACAGGTGAGCAGGTCAGGGTCGGGGCCAGCGAGCATCAGCCCCAGGCTGCCGGGCTCCTCTATCTCCAGACCTTCATCTTCGTCGAGGATGGCGACCTCTGCGTGATCGGCCTCTGCTGGAGACGGGGAGACAGGGGAGGGGCAGAGAAGACAGAGATGGACTTAGGCGGCCGCCAGCACCCGGCCCCCAGGCCCAACCCCGCCCCCGTGGCTGCCAGGGCTGCCAGCGGCTTCCCCTCCCCACCCTGGACAAGATGGACAAACTGAGGCTCAGCACGTGCCACTGTGGTCCCGGAAGCTGGCTCACCTCTTTCCGGCTTGCCTTGTGCACATTGTTCCTCACTGTACCCTAACAGCATACATGCCCACATCCTGGCTGCTGCCACCATCAGCAGCAGACACACCTTTCAAACTGTCCCGGGCACCCTGGGGCACCCTCAACCAAGCACACTGGGACCCAAACACCAGCATTTCGTTGAAGACTGCCCACGTGCCTGGGGAGGGCAGGGAGGCTGAACCAGCCTCCTCCCGACACCGGCCAAACACTTCCATTCATGCTTACGTCCGCCCCGTGTACACAGTCCCTACCCACATTCCTCCACCTGTGGCCGCACACCGGAAACTCAGCCGGGCGGCACAGCGGCTGGTGGCTCACACACTGGGAAAGCGACAAGTGAGCCCGGGGGCCCCAGAATACCCAGAAACAGAACACACAGAGCCAGAGACCCAGGACCGTATCAGCTGAGCCGCCAAGCCCCCATCCCGGCCACACACCCACTTCTCACCGGTTCCTCGCACTCATCCCTTCTGGCCTGGGCTAGTGGAATTTTTACTTCCGGCAAAAAGCACTTGTTTTCCAACTGCAGCTCTGCTTCTTGTGATGGGCTTTATGCTTTCTTGTTTCTTTAGCAGTCAAACTATTTCTTCCTCCCCACCCCTTCCTCTTTCTTTTTTTTTAATTGTAGGGAGCACAAAATATTTTGAAACTCATAAATGTCTCTCAAGGCAACAACCCCTTGCGTCAGCCAGAAGTAGCCTAAATAAAGGGGCGAGGATACACAGGGAACCCCCTCCTCCCTACAAGGGGCTTGAACACATTGAGGCTACAATTTTTCCAAAGTCAAGGTAGTAGCCATCAGGCAAAAGGCACAAAAGGCAGGATCTTCAGAGACCTGGGCACAGGCCATGGGAGCGGGTGGACAGAACCTAAGCCAGATCAGGCACAGGAAGAGACACTGGATGCCCCAGAAGGATGGCAAGGAGAAAAAATATATTCCGTGGCCATGGAGTTAGGGATGGGCCAGAGCCAAAAAACAGATAATTTAAGGAAAAAAATGCTGTGACATCCTCCACGCTCCAGATTTTCTGAGCGTGAGCTCCTGCAGGGCCCACAAGAGTACCCCCAGTACAAAACGTGTCTGTGTGGCCAGGGAGCAGCGTGGCTCTGGCCGGGAAGGGAGAGCGTGCCTGTGGCTCCCACAGAGCAGAGGGGGCCCTCAGGGAACTCCGAGGAGCACCCCGCAGCCCAGGGCACCCTCACACCCTTCTCCAACAACAACAACAAGAAAGAACCGACAAGGTAGAGGCAGCCCGCACAAAGCCGGTCTCAGAAACCATTAATTACACTTGAACAAGAAACCCGAGTTTACTTAAAAAGGAGTTGGAAGACAATGCTACGTAATTAATTTACCAATTTATTTTATGAAAAGATGCTTTGCTCTGGTTAAAACATAATCACAGCCTTGCCGACGCACAGCCACGGTGGTTCGAGGGGGTGCCCAGGTCCCGGGGACGGTTGTCAGAATGCAAAAGGCAATTATTCCATGCCTCCTTTCCCTTTAATGATCTAGCATTGAGCAATACTGTTGATATTGAAAAGCTCGCACCTTTAATTACCAATTACATATACGTTTCCGAAGACAGAGGAGAGGGTTAGAACGGTTGTTTAGAAATATAAGGATGCATTGTACACCACCGTTTGCAAAGAAGGGCCACTAATAAACGGGAGGGGGTGTCAAAATATTGTTTTGTCCAAGAATTAAAAACAGAGGCACAAAGGAAATGAGCTGAGAAAAGGGACAAAAACGAAATCGACAGTTCACACGGGGACTAGGGCGAGGCTCCAGCCCTGGCACCGCATGCTCAAGGCCACGGTCACATCCACAGAGCCTTCCAGAAAAGCCAAACATCAACACAGCCCCGCTCCCGACCCGGTCTCCCCTCCCTCTCCGGGGACTGACAGGGGCTTTGTTTTCTGGTTTGATCTTTGGTGTACTTTTTATTGCCTCTCGTTAACTTTCTCAGCCACATCTGCCCTCCCGGCTGGGAATCCCAGAACACGGGAGGAGCTGCTGCCTGCTCTGAGGGTTCGCGCCACATCCTTGCAAATTCGCTTTCTAATCCCAAGGAGAGACAGCCCAGTGCTAAGATTTGCAAAGATCACAGTCGCCACTTCTCCCCGAGCAGCCCCCACTCCTCTTTGGCCAAGGTGCTACACCAACATTTTTTTTTTCCCCCTTTGGTGAAATCTTTTCTTTCTTCCCACAGCCTCTGTCTGCTAGCACCAGGAACCAAGTGAGAAGGTCTCCACTGGCTTTGACGCTACAGTGATTCGCATTTCTACAGCTATGTCACCCGCCAAACTGGGGAGCCAGGCTCCCACCCCACAGCCTCTGCTGCCCAGCTCCACCACGGCTGCATGCTGGGCTCTCAAAGCCGCCGCCTCCCAGCGCAGGGAGCTGAGTCTCAGAGGGTAAGACATGAAAACAAAAGCAAAAACAAAACAAAAACGTCCCTCCCCCTGGAACGACAGGCAAGAGCCTCTTCACCCAGCTCCCAGTGAAGGCTTTCTGTTCCTGCTGCCTGGGCTGGGAGCGGGGCTTTGGGGCTTTGACCTCCTGCATGCCATGCTGCCGAGGGAAATGGCAGTGGCACCCCCCCCCATCCTCATGCAACACAGCCAACCTGGACACCAAATCCAGCCAACTTGGGGGTCAGAGTGAGTGGGCCCCAGCAGCTGCGTTGATCTGAAAGTGCCCACACGGGCCTTCAGAGACACCCCAGAGAATGCGGTTTCATTTCCGCTGGCAGGCGGCAACCAACCTGGGTGGAGGGTGTGTGTGTGTGTGTGTGTGTGTGCGCGCACGCATGCACGCCCCTTCCTAGAACTGTATCAACAATCAAGAAATCCAAGCAGATAGAGTGCCTGGGCCAAGCCCCGAACAGGCAAGGTGTTCGGCCAGCCGCCTTCCCGCGGCCTCCAGAGCCCTGCGCACCAGGCCCCTGCTCTCCTGGGCAGACTAGCCCAAGCTGCCACCCAGAGACAAGACAAATCCCGCCTCTCCGGCCCCTCCTGCAGTCCAGTCTGGCCAACTCGGGCCTCGCAGAGTCAAGGTGAGGATGGGGGTTTTGCTTCTGTGAAAAGCAAACCAAGAGTCAGGCAGCCCCGCTAAACACTGCTGATGTCGGTACACTCCACGCCGAACAGAGCCAAGCGATTGCTAAAGTGTGTGACAAGGAAAAAGCAACGGATGCGGCAGGCAACATGTTCAAACGTCAGATATCAGAGGACCGGGCCGAGTTCTGAAATGTTCAACCCTAAAATGCATGTGTGAACAGACACACATTTACACACGCACGTGCGTGCACACACGAGCTAGAATTTCTTTTACAACAAAACCACATTTTATTTACAAGGTTCAGCCCCCTCAGCTGGTAAGTGCATTTGGAAGCAATGAAATCAGGCTCTACAAATAATATGGACATCGTTGTTAACTGGAGGGGAAACCCTTGATCCTTAGACAAACTTCCCATGTCTCAGCTTGGCTGGGAAGGAAGTGGGAGAAGGCGGAAACGGGGAAACACCCTTCGTGCCGGCTCGGCCGAGCAGTTCCCGGCAGTTGCAGAGGCTCCGCGTGGCCTGACCTGGGGGAGCTGCTCCCACATGCAGGGCCCCAGGAGCTCCCCCTGTCCACGTCCTACTCTAATAAATGCCCTTGCACCTGTCCTGCAGTCAAGAAGCCAGCCACCTGCTGTGCCCAGAGCTCAGTGTGGTGTGTGCGTGCCACACACAGCGTACGTGTGCATGGCCACACGCGTGTGCACTGCTACATCAGTGTCATCGCCACACACGTACACCCGTGTTCTGCTGCACACGAGCTCAGCCACCCCTCCACCCTCCACCGATTCAAGTCCATTTCTCTCATGTCTAAGCCACGATGTTTTAGGAAAAGCAAAGAGTCCTTGCTTCGGGTGGATAACAGGGGTGGGAGGACAGGGCAAGGATGTGGAAAAGGAGTGCCATGCTTAAAATCGTGTGCCACCAACGTCACGGCCCCTGTGTTTACAAGAAGTGCTCTGCAGCCACCCGCCACAGCCCCGCATCCGACTGCAGACCTGACACCTGCTTCCTACGAACGAGTTTGCCTGCGAGGCCGAGCTCCCCAGTCATCCGCTCCCCACTCTGCCAGTCCGCACTCAGGGAGGGGCGAGGCTGGTGACATGGGAGCCACCAACACACACACACACACACACACACACACACACACACACACACTCGGCAGAGCCCAGCACTCTTCCGAGCTGCCATCAATTTTTAATTTATTGGATCCCAGGGAAAATAACAACCGTGGGGAGGGGGGAAGAGGAGGGGAGGATGGGAGAGAGCAGGAATCAATTCTTGGTGAAGAAAATAATCTACGGCCACGTGACGCTGAGAGGAGGGAGAGACGTTTTATGAAGTTCTCCTAACGGAGGGGATAATGAAGCCGCCGAGCATCCGAGGCGGCACGTGTTGGGAGGAGGTCCACACGGCCCTGGCGGGATGGGCCACGTGCCGGCGGGGAAGGACACAGCCAGGCAGGACCCCAAGCAGGCAGCATGGCACCCAGGATCCCTCTCGCCACTGCCCACCTGGAGGGAGGAGCCCAGCCTGTCCCAGGTGTCACAGACTGAACCCTCCCCAGAGATGCCTGCATGTCGCCGCCGCCGCACCACCAGACCCCGTCTGCTCGGTGCCCAGCACAGAGCACACATCACAAAATGTAACCATCGCCATTTCTGACATCTGGGTACGGGTCTTTCCCAAAAAGCGGACAAGGGCCCAGCTGACCAGGCG